AATGAATCTACATGTATGCTCAGAATCATTTTTTATTCTGCAGCTATAATTTGAAAATCATTAATGGTTTGCGTATGAAACCTCTGGAATCGAGTAGAGGTTTCGCTCTAACTTAAGAAGTTCTTATTTCCTCTATTACTTTCTTCGGAGTCTGCGACTCACTTTGGTTTTGCATCTATCGTGAAATTCAACGTATAATCTTTTGCTTTCCAATCCTCTCCAATCCTCCTCTTCAATTTTCCAATTTCTCCAATCCAACCTTTCCAAAGGTAGAGCATTCTGCCATAGAACCAGGGAGAGATTGATTGGGCGGTCGGGCAGGAGGCAGCAAAGACTCGCCGCTTTTGCTCATGGAAGTACCTAAGGAGCTTCAGACTTCCTCGCGTTTCTAATTACTTCTTCGCACTTCTAACTATTGGATGGATCCATTTGAACTTCTTGAGCGTGGTAGATTGCGAGATGTAGATTTTATGGTTCATATTCATAGTAAAAAAATAATAAGTTCCAAAAAGACTCCTAAAGTGCCTCCTTCAACTCCAAAGTCGATATAAAAAATCAGATTTTCGATTTTATTTGGAACTATAATTCGCTTATCAAATTTTCAATTTTCAATTTTTCATTTCCAGAATCTCAATAATTTTGTGTGCGTTTTCCTTATTCTTAATCATTCATTCCGATTAAAGAGGGACTTCACAGACTAATAACACTAGCCCTTTGCTTTGCGAAGGACTTACTCCTTGTCTTCAAGAATTCTGAAAAGGATTGTCCTGAAGATTTTCAAGATGAAACCGATTGTAGCTGAGGTTGGAAGAAATTCCAAGAATTCCAAACTGATTTAACGTTAAATATTATTCAAGAAGGTTCATGTTTGATACTCTTGCTTCTAAAGTAATAAAAGGTGCGAGGAGTGATTAGAGGCGCGAGTAAATCTGAGGCTCCTGAGGCACTCCCAAAAGCAAAAGCGGCTAGCCCTTGCTGCCTCCTGCCTGACGTCCGATTGATGAAAGTGCTAAGTAATCAATGCATAATCAAATTGAGGAATTCCATATATGAAAGTTTCTCTTTATTCGAAAGAACGCTGCATATTCTGGGTACTGTGCCTCTCCCAGTTGCTTTTTCGAAATGTTTTACAGTAGCGATACGATTTCTTCCATATAAATGATACTGAAAAAAAACTGCTAAGTAAGTCACTCTTAATGCTGGTATGAATTGATGTTTGGTTATTTTTGATAAGGGCTTTGAGTCATCTACGTAATTATTGTAATTGCAATTTGATTCAAGTTTTCGATTATCTAAGACACTGAAAACCGAATGTCGCTGGCAGCAGTTCGAAAAAAAGTCACTAGTCTAGCAGTTGATTTATATCGGATTCCTTTTTGTTGGCATTATTTCGTAACTTGAGTAGCTTCTAACGGATGTAAAAAAAATTTGCTATCTGACAGTTTATGTTCACGCCTGTACGTTGTTTTGAATCCAAGCCTCATTGAACCATAATTGCCATCTTTGCAGGCTCAAAAATGGCACTTGACGTGGGTGATCGAACTGAAGATATCAAGAATAAGTAAGTAATTCATTGTTTATTTTATGGGAAGTTTTTTGGAGGAAAAATCAATGAAATGAATAAAAATCGATGTTTATGGCTTTAACTTCCATTGTGTTGCTTGGATTCTGAGCTTGGAACATTTTTTTTGCAAAATAGTATGCATAATATGTGTAATAAAAATTCCAGTAATCGCAAAGCAAGCACTGAAGTTCATCCGGCTATCGCTACCAAAAAATGTTTTTACTGTGGAAGAGAAGATAAAAAGCCGGAACCACCAAAGAAGAAAACCAACAACGGGTAAGTATCACAAGAATCCCTTAACGATTTTTTGCTTCTAAATTCTTTACAGATTCTACCTAGGGATTATCCTCGGTCACAACATCGACTTGACTTTGAGCAGTTCGGAACGGTAAGTCACACAGTTTCCATTCTTTCTCACCAAAATCATATATCTCTAGCTTTACAGATTCCAATTCAAGAAGGACTACGAAAAATTCAAGCTTCGTTTCACTCTCCTCAATCTCTTTCCTTTGGCCATCGCTTTCTTCTTTCCTTCAAGGTGAGTCCCACTTCCTAGAAAAGCGAAATGCTTTGATTCTATTAGGTTGGAAAGAAAAGAATGTCGCTTTTTTCG